CCGGATGGGAGAGACTAATGTTTACTGCTGCAGCCTGATTTGATAAGTAGCCTGCATGTTAAGCAGACTGTCTTTTTCCAGTGAAAGTTTTCTAGGCTAATGCAGGAAAAATGGGTAATTAAGATAAATGCCCCTGGTGTTTTCCCAGAGTGCCATCCAACTCCCCAGAGGCTTGTTTCTACACATATGGTGGTGGAATTGGGGCGTGATCTTTCCTCTCTGCGGCCTCTGCCTTACCTCTGCTGTTGCTGCTTTGCTTCTGTGGAAACCGAGGTGCTGAAAGGGTTCAAGGCATTTGGGAACCATCTGGGGAAGCTCACTGTCATTACTTACTCAGAGGGCTGCTCTCACCTAGACCCATAACTCACTTCTGCGGCCTTGAGGTTATCTGCTTGGCTCAGTTGACTGCAGGCCAAAAGGAGCAATTCATAAAGCTGCCATCTGGTAAGGATAACCCAGGCTACAGATTCCCTGAGTCCTAAGAGCCAGCTCGCTCTGTCCCAGCTACGACCCAGTGACCATGGAAACCAGCTGGCACTCACACACCTGCTCTTCACAATTCCTGACCTCTCCCACCTGAGAAGTGTGCCTAGACTTGTGACCCTTAAGCGTGACTGCTTGGGAAGGGGCTGTCTTGAGCAGTTCTATGGTCTGAGCTATGTTTTAACCTGGCAGCTGCGTGCAGGACATCTTGGAGACAAGAGGGCTTTGAGGGAGGAGATCCTTTGGCAGCCACCAGCACAGTCCGGTGCTAGAATGACCACAGAGGTGGCCTGGGGAGGAAAAGAGAGCACTACTGAGAGAGATGTCTTTTCCAGTGGAAAAAAAGAACAAAAGCAAAAATGGAAGAAAAAAATCACTCATAACTCTACTGCTCAGACTTAACATTGTTAATAGGTATGGAATCTTCCGATCTTCTTCCTGTGTATATGGAAAATGGAACATACTGTACACACCATGCTATAGTCCACTGTTATTTGCCTAATTATAGAGAGAACATCTTTCTCTGTCACTAAATGGACAAGATGAATGAATGTTGCCTTCAGCTCTTCCTCTCTTCTCTGTCTGTCTGGGTCCTCCTCCCCAGGACTCCAGGCTCAGACAGCTGCCAACTTATCTCTGATAAAGCGCTACCCTTCCCAGGGCTGTTTGCCTTTTGCAATAAACTCTTAAGAGCAAATCATCTTCACACTCCCCAAATTAGTCATTGGTGACTAATGGCAGAATACGAGAGTGGAGAGATGGCTCTACTCTGTCAACTCTCTGGTGAAGTAGGAATCCGAAGAAAACAGGAACACCCTGGGCCTTTGGTGTGTGATACAGGGATGTCTGAATGTTCCCTAGAGCCTGACAGGATGGTATAAGTGAATTCACCAGTGCATTAAAGATTTGTTGATTATGGAGGAAGCACCGAAGAAGGACACACCCACAGCCTGGAGTAACAGTAACAACATGGGATTCCGAGTCACACAGCCATGGGTTAAAATTCTGGCTCTGTCAGTTTCTAGCTGTGTGACCCAGGGCAAGTTACTTAGCAGCTTCATGCCCTAGTTTCCTCACCTATAAATGGTGATAGTAACACCTCCCTCACAGGGTTGTCATAAGAGCTAAAACAGGATTGTATATGTAAAGTATCTAGTCAGTGCTGAGCACTCAATAAATGGTAGATGTTAATTCTAAAACAATAAAAATAACAACACATACCTTTTGAAATTAATATTTGGCCAGCAGTGAAATATGTAGGTACAAACCACATCAAGATAATTTGATACATGAATATCTGACTTTGCATAACAAAGTAAGATCTGATTGGTCATACCATCTAGAATAATTTGCTTTACAAAGATTCAATCAGTTAGTCAACAAATATGCACTGAGTTTCTACTACGTGCCGGGCACAGTAGAAGATCTTGGGTACTTAGAGGTGCATAAAGCAATCTCTGCTCTCAAGCACCTCATCTTTTAGTGGGGAAGACAGATAATTAACTCAGACTTTCATACTTGCAGTTACACATATTGAGGTATGAAGACATAGGGATAGTTGCTGACATAGACATGGACATTTTTTCCCTTGGCGATAGGCACTGCGAAGAAGATAAAGTGGGATACTCTGGTAGAGAATAACTGGCGTGGGATGGTTAGCTAGAATAGTAATTGTGGAGGTAACGTCTGAGCTCAGACCTAAGTAATGAGAAGGCAGCTGTGTGGAGATCCGTGGGGAGGACAAAGCGAGCAGAAACTCCAAGTGCAAAGATGCTCCAGCTAGAACAAGCTTAGCACGGGTGAGAAGGAAAATGCAGTGGTGTGATTAGAACCTTACAAGCCAGGCGGGGAATGAAGGGAGCCATGACTGAAGAGGCGGGAGCCAGACCATGTAGGACAGAGGATGGCAAACACTCTCTGTAAAGGGCCAGATAGTGCGTATTTTAGGCTTTGTCACACCGACTGTGTCATAGCTACTCAACTCTGCCCTTATGGTACCAAATTAGCCATAGATAATTCATCTTTAGATGCAGCCATAGATAATTCATCTATAGATGGGGGTGATAGGGGTGTGTATGCTCCAATAAAACTTTATTTACAAAAACCGGTGGGAGAGAGAAACAAAGGGCCATAGTTTGTTAACCTTTGATTTAGACGGGTGAAGGCCTCGATGAGGAATCTGGATGTTATTCTCAGTGTGGGTATTAAGCAGAGGAGTGATAGAGTCTGACTTATATTTTTAAAAGGATTGCTCTGTTCTATGGAGGATGGACTGGAAGGCAAGGGCGGAAGCAAGGACCTGGGAAGGAGGCTGGTGAAATAGTCCAGTGAGGGATGGCAGTAGTGCAAAATCAGAACAGCAGAGGTGTTGAGAAGTGACCAGATCCTGATTAGACACTGCATTGGAACCAGCAGGATTACAAATGAATTGAGTGTGGGGGATGAACAAAAGAGAGGAATCAAGAATGATTGCTGGTTTTTTGGCTCTAGCAGCTGGGTTGATGACGCCACATATACTGAAATGGGGAACACTAGGGGAGAGGTATATTTTCAGGAATAAAAAGCAATCTATCAATTTTGTCCTTGCTAAGTTTGATCTGCCTAACAGACAGGCAGGCGATGACGTCCAGCAGGCAGTGGTGTTTGCACATCTAGAACTCAGTGAGAGATCCAGCTAGAGAGAGAAATTTGGGAGTCGGCCAGGTGCGGTGGCTCAAGCCTGTAATCCCAGCACTTTGGGAGGCTGACGTAGGCAGATCACCTGAGGTCAGGAGTTTAAGACAAGCCTGGCCAACATAGTGAAACTCCATCTCTACTAAAAATACAAAACAATTAGCCAGGAGTAGTGGCTGGCACCTGTAATCCCAGCTACTCAGGAGGCTGAGGCACTAGAATTGCTTGAACCCGGGAGGCAGAGGCTACAGTGAGCCGAGATCATGACACTGCACTCCAGCCTGAGTGACAGAGCAAGACTCTATCAAAAAAACAAAAAGCAAGCAAAGAAAGCAAGCAAAGAAAGAAAGAAAGAGAGGCAGGGAGGGAGGGAGGGCGAGAGAGAGAAAGAAAGAAAGAAAGAAAGAAAGAAAGAAAGAAAGAAAGAAAGAAAGAAAGAAAGAAAGAAAGAAAGAAAGAAAGAAAGAAAGAAAGAAAAGAGAGAGAGAGAAAGAAAGAGAAAGAAAGAAAGAGAAAGAAAGAAAGGCAGAAATGTGAGAGTCATCAGAGTGCCAGGATGGGCATCCTCCAGATTTCTCTAGGAAGGAGGAAACGAAGCCAGGAGGAACAAAGGTAGAACGCAGGTCCTTCCAGTACACTGAGGTCTGGTAGAGGCAGGGAGGACAGCAGAGGAGCCTGAGAAGGAACAGTCAGCAATCTGGGAGGCAAGCCAGATGACTGTGAGGGTCAAGGAATCACACCTGTTTCAAGAAGAAAGCCACGGGTAGGACTGCATCAAATGCTGCTGAGCGACTCAAGTAAGAGGAGGTTTCTGCGTAGGACTCGCCAGAGCAGTCCGGTAACTACTGAACTGTCCAGGACATTTACAATATGATTCCGTTTCCAAAAATTCAAAACTGCAATTTACCCACAACTTCTTAGTAACACAAATCAGCTCAACATCTATTGAGTTACTACTATGACTCACCTTTTTTGCTTAAAAATCCTTGGAACAAAGACAATTTTGCAAAATGTCTTAAATCAAGCAGCCTACACTTAGAAGGAGAAAAGCCGGGTAATGATTTTTCTTACTTGCAGGGACTGTAAAGGTAATACCAAAAAAGAGCCGGTTTTATATTAATATATAGCCAATCAGAATCGACAGGGTAGGGATCATCGAATTAATAACTCACAAAATCCACAGGTGATCTCTTTTAAGGCAATGGTTTTCACCTTTTTCACCATTTAGATCCATCTTTAAATTTGAACTTCTCCTTCCTTTTCCCTGACAGCTTTTAGGAGGGGTTGATAATAGGAACTGAACTGGCCACAGGGCACAGGGCAAGGAAGAAAGACCAGTGCACTTCTAGATTGTCATCAGTCTGGTTCTCTAGAGCGGCAGGAGGCACAGTCGCTTACGGTTCCCTGGCCAGGCTGGGCCCGCACCCACTAGGCATGCACCTGGCCCTGCTGAGGCAGCGATTCACATTTCCTGACTTGCATTCAAAAGGTTGTTCTTTCTGACCCAATTTGGTCATTGGCACAAGGGCATCACCGCCTCTTGCCTCGTTCCCTTTCTCATTTCAGTCTCCTCCCTCCCCTGACACTGCTCCTTCTTCCTGCTCCAAGAAAAGCGGTTAGGTCTCCAGAGGCTGGATGGTGCGTAGTGAACAGAGTACCTGTTCTAAGAAAAGAATTCTAAAGCTTTGCCCAGCTTTCGCCTCAAACCGTGAGCTCTGCTAGCCCCCGCCCCCACCCGCACACACACACACACACACACACACACACACACACACACACACACACACACCGCCCCCAGGGATCGATGAACTAAGAATAGCCCAGGCTTGTAAATGAACTGGAACCTTTTCTGCTGTGTTCTTAGCCCTTCACAGTCATGGCAGGGACACAGGCAGGAGCACAACCCGGAGCTGCTGATTTTTCCAGCCATGCCTATTGGAAGCAAGCGCCCCCACCCCCTGCCGCTTGGTGGATTAATGATGGCGTTTCCACCCTCTAGCTTCCCATCTCCTGTGAAGTACAACTTGTCCTGTTCCGGGACGCCACTTGGCATTCCTCCTGGAGGAAGTGGATTTTGAGTTGCATTTCAAAAGAAATGTACTGTCACACTGATGTGCTCTAAATTAACGATCTCACAGGGCAGTCAGGGTAAGCCCCATTCCCTGCAGCTATAGTTCTTCTCCCTGGGAACATTCCCTGCCTGGCATGGTGACCGTATCCACCTGTCTATCCTCTGATATTTTTTGAATATAGCCTGTTAGGTTCTATATACCATGTAAAATATTGCCGGGTACTGTGCCAGAGGCTCAGAGTTCCACAGATGAATTAATATGGTTTATTTGTAATTCCTCATTTGTCCTGAGAGACATGGAATAGGGGAAGTGTGTTCCCCGGGTCTTTTGGGTACTGCCCAAGAGTAGCCAAGTTCAAGAGCACAGTGAGAAGGAGGCAGCCAAGGACATCTCTCCAGGGGCTGGGGGGAAGGAAGGCATTTCCCCTGGGGTCTGGAGTCCCTAGGAATGGCCTTGGCTGCTTCTGTCTTATGCTATATTTTGGCACCCAGCAGGCGCTCCATGCATGGTAATAGAATACAGTGGTGAAGAGCATGTGGTTTTTGGAATCAGGCAGACCTGGGTTCACAACCTGCCTTATGCCACTTGCAGGTGACCGAACTTCTCTAGGAGTATGTTTCTTCATCTTTAGAACAGGGTTAACAATAGAACCTTCCTGATAGGGTGATTGTGAGGATGCAATGAGACTATGTGTCTAAATCAGCTGTTCTCTTGCCTGGCACAGGGTAAACAATAAATGGCATTATTTTAAGATATAGTGTATTGGCCGGGCATGGCACGGAGGCTTATGCCTGTAATCCCAGCGCTTTGGGAGGCCAGGGCAGGGGGATCACCAGAGGTCAGGAGTTGGGGATCACCAGAGGTCAGGAGTTTGAGACCAGCCTGGCCAACGTGGTGAAACCCTGTCTGTAATAAAAATATAAAAATTAGCCAGGTATGGTGGTGTACATCTGTAATCCCAGCTGTTTGGGAGGCTGAGGCAGGAGAATCACTGGAGCCCAGGCGGCAGAGGTTGTAGTGAACCGAGATTGTGCCACTACACTTGAGGTACAGTAAGGCAAACAGACCAGTTGACAATTGCCATTAAGAGATAGTTTATTACAGTTCCCAAAAGGAGGGGTCATGCCATACCATGCATGGAGGGGGCCACGGGGAAACACTAGGAAGCAGAAGGAGGGGTAAACTGTGGGCAAGAGCTCTTATTATGGTTTTGTGGGAAGGAACAGGTCAGGCGGGGTAAGCAGGCTTCAGATTGACTGGTTTAAATAATTCCAGTGGCTCTGGTGCATAGGGGCCGTCTCTGTTGTCTGGTCCTGGCCCTGGGGTGATTAGGGCAGGTGAATAGTGACCCAGAGCCTTATCATGGAGGTGGCTGGAGCTTGGGTTCTGGATTGATTGGTTGGCATTTCCAAGACATACTCATGGACAAGTCGTTGGTTGTCTCTAGAAGTTGACTCATCCAGGGAGGGGCAGTCCCTCCGGAGTCAGCAAGGCCCCAGATGCCAAAGCATCAGAGTGCAGAAAGTAAAAGGCATGATTAATACAAGTACCTAGTATTTTTCTATACATATGTACACAGTACTAAGCTCAGTCCATAATACTGGGAAAATAAGATTACCTTTCTTCTAAATTAAGTTAAATCTTACTTGGAGACTTGATTCTGATGGGTACAGTAATTCACTCTCAGTTTCTTTTCTCTTTTTTTTTTTTTTTTTTTTTTTGAGACGGAGTTTCACTCTGTCTTCCAGGCTGGAGTGCAGTGGCGGGATCTCGGCTTACTGCAAGCTCCGCCTTCCGGGTTCACTCCATTTTCATGCCTCAGCCTCCCGAGCAGCTGGGACTACAGGCGCCCGCCACCACGCCTGGCTAATTTTTTTGTATTTTTAGTAGAGACGGGATTTCACCGTGTTAGCCAGGATGGTCTCGATCTCCTGACCTCGTGATCCGCCTGCCTTGGCCTCCCAAAGTGCCGGGATTACAGGCGTGAGCCACCGCGCCCGGCCCACTCTCAGTTTCTTTTGGAGCTTCTCCTGGCTGTCCAAACCTCAGCTCCAGGAAAGACAGCAAAGGCCTCTCTGTCTTCTCCACCACAGAAAAATTTGCAGGGAGGCCTCCCTGCCCTTCAAGCCACCGTTCGTCTCAGTTCCTGCTGAGATGCTCACTGTCCCAGCCCTCTTTGTTCCTCAGGCCTGGGAAGCCTGGTGGGGCTGCTGTTTCTCTGCCTCCTGGGCTACATAAGGGTTATTGCAGAGGCCAGGAGTCTCCCAGGTGCCCCATCCCATCCTTCCTCCAAGTCTGGGGAAATGTGGTCATGGGTCTGATAGAAGTTTTGCAGAAGCAGGACATAGATGTGGGCATCAGTTCAACACCAGAGCCCTTCCCCTAGCCCACTCCCATGGTCTGGCCCTTTGGCTTCCTCATCCTTAACATCTCAGGGCCACTCCTCCCCTCCTTGCTATTCTCTTGGCCTAGAACTCACTTTTCCCTCTTCTTTGTCCAACTTGAGTTCACATTTATCGAGAACCTACTATGAGCCAGATTATCTATGTAACTCCATTTTACCTCATTGTATCTATTAATTCTCACAACAGCCTATAAAATCTTATTTATACCCATTTTACAGATGAGAAAAACAAGGTTCCAAGAAGTTAAGTAATTTATTCACAGTCACACAGCTAGCAAAACCCAGCTCTATCTAACTAGAGAGCTGCTGTTCTGAACCAGTGTGCCAGACTGTTTCATGCCAGGGTCGTCTCCTCCAAGAAGCCTCCTCAGATTTCTCCCCAACTTTGAACTAAGAATCTATGGGAAAACTCCAAGTTGCTGTTAACCAGACTGTTATGACTTTTACTTGTGCATACTGCTAACGAACATTTCCCAACATCCCTTTCAGTTAGGTGTGATCATAAGACTGAGTTCTCGCTAATAGAAAATTACAATGAGTGAAGTGGTAAGGGTCACCCCCAGGCCTGCTCATAAAAACCTCCCATGTGCACTCGGTCCACATCAGCTTGCCCAAAGCAACCTTGGAGCCACATGTTGAAGATGGCAGCACCCCTAGCAGCCTGGGTCATAGATGACTGTGCAGAACAGTTCCCACCCACCCCACCCAATATTGAATTGTTATGTGAGAGAGAAGTAAAATTTTATTGTGTTAAGCCTCTGAATTTATCTGTTTGTTTATTTATTTATTTACTTATTTTATTATTATTTTCTCTTTGACAGGGTCTCTCTCTGTCTCCAGGCTGGAGTGTAGTTGCGCGATATCGGCTCACTGCAACCTCCACCTCCCGGGTTCAAGCGATTCCCCTGCCTCATCCTCCTGAGTAGCTGGGGCTACAGGCACATGCCACCACGCCTGGCTAATTTTTTTTATTTTAGTAGACACAGGGTTTCACCATGCTGGCCAGGATCGTCTCGATCTCCTGACCTCGTGATCTGCCTGCCTCGGCCTCCTAAAGTGCTGGAATTATAGGCTTGAGCCACTGTGCCCGGCCTGTTTATTTCTTACTGGAGCTGGTGTCACCTTAACTAACTTTTGGGGCTTTCTTTCGTTCAAATGCTGCATAATGGTTGATTTACATATTTATCAGTTTTGAAAGACATTCTCCCATCCTCAACAAACATAAAAATTACCTGAGGACCTTGTTATAAAACAGATTTCCAGGGCTCCCCTTTCCCCAGGTTCTAACTGATCAAGTTGTGTGTGAGGTCCAGATACCTATGTTTTAAACAAGCCTTTTCCATGATCTTGAGGAACGTGGCTCACACACAGATCAGACACTTGGACAAACTCCTCTCTAATGCCACCTCTGAGCCTCAGTTCTCTGTGTCCTGCCAGCAAGCCTGGGGTGGCGGTCAGAACGCACAGGCAGTACTCATGGGACCCAAGGGCCTTAGACAACCATTCGGATTCTTGGCAACTACTTTATGAGTGATATGGTATCCAGTGTATGTACTTGGCTGGAATTTAGTTACCATGTATTTGTGTGTTTCTATAGGAAAATGAACTCCAGTTTAATTACAAGCTCACTTGGAGATTAAAGTCAGGCTTAAGGAGAAACTATCCACACAGGCAGAGAAGATATACATGTTGGTACCTGGGTGCAATGTGAGGTGTGTCTCAAGAACCTGAAATAAGGCAAATAAGAGGGTCCTCCGAGTGGTCACCCTAAAACCAGCTCATGATAGATGATCTCAGGAGTGGCAGGAAAATCCACCCCAAAGAGACAGCCCAGGTCTGGCAGATTTGACCAGAACCTAATTGGGTGTATGAGTTCTCTGCTCTCCAAGCTTCTGTCCTTGTCCCATTTTCTCAAATCTTGAAATATCTGCCTTCCCCCTATACCATTAATGGCTTAACATTTCTCATTAAATGGATGCCCCCCTACACATATACTTTTTAATTTTTTAAAAAATATTGAAAAGGAAGCTCTTGCACAAAAGGGAGAATATGTGTATGAAAATTAAGAAAGATCCTGGACCCAGAAAGAAAGTGATGCCCCCAAGAGTGAGAGGGCAGGGGTCCAAAAGACCAGAAGTTTGGAGGGCCTGCAGCAGGTGGAGAGAACAGGTGAGGGGCAGAGGGCAGCCTGGAGAGAAAGAAGAACTCTCACTGGGAGGGAAAGCCAGCTGGGAGGGTGCAGAGGAAGACAAAGAGGGGTCCTAAAGGCCCGTCTGGGGAGAGAACCCTGGGCACTGAGAGAGTGTGGGCTGCAAGTACGGGGAGCCAGGAGAGAGCTGCAGGACAGCCAAGGCCAGAAAAAGCACAGGCTGAGCACTGAGGAGGGGCCAGAGCAGGGCAGTGTGGGCAGGTGAAGAGAGTTGGGGAGCAGGTGCAGGACGTGTGCTCCCACAACACTGGGCTGTAGGGGTTGTCTTCCTGTGTCTGGCCCGGAGCGAGGTAGTACTGCCAGCAGCCAGGAAGAGAGATGATATGCTGGGGTCTGCATTTCATCCTCAGGGACATATGACATTAACATATCCCAAGAAACATCTGTGTCATCAAAAGGAGGGCTGCTCAGAGTAGACAAAAGAGGGTAAGAGGAGCAGAGGAAGCAAATGTCAGACCTGCCCACTCCC